GAGAGAGAGAGAGAGAATGCCAAAGATGGAGATCGGGGTCGGGAGAAATAACCCGGCCTTGACCTGCAAGGCTGAGTGGACTTGACCAAGTTCTTATCACTATTTTTTTTTTTTTAACAATTTGAATATTAAGAAATTCAAACCATCGAATTATCCCAAAAGGTAAATTGAATTCGACCATCTAGAATTGTTAGATATACAAATTGAATGAATAGAGAGAAAAAACAAAGAGTCACTAGGCTTAGTTGCAAGCACTCTCAAGGCCGTAGAGAACCCCTGCATAAGGCTCAGTAAGGCCCCCAAAGAACCGATCCCTCAACCCCACAAAAGCATGCCAAGTGAGCAAGCTATCGGACCCAGCTTGGTGGCAGGAACCCACTGCTCGGTCCACGTTCAATGACTCAGCTAGCCTGGCGAGCCCACCGTGCAAGCCCCCACAATACTTCATCAAGTGTTTCAAGTCATAAATCTCCCCAAAGTAGGTCCTAACCATTGTTAAGAACTCTTCAAGTTCACCCGGCATCTCTCTCCACGTTAATAGTTTCAACAGATATGCGAAGTCATATGCACTATGGAAAGTGACCCACTTAACGTTATCATTGCAAACCAAACCCGACCCCATCAGGAGCTCGGCGAACAGTCTGGACTCGATCCCGTCGGTTGAATTCTTCTCAAAATCGATCCCGTGTTTCTCGAGGAGAGAGATTGAGGCGGGAGAGTAGGGATGTTTCAAGAGATTGAAATCCTTAAAATTGAATTGCCAAATAAATTGAGAGTCAGTGCCTAAATTAGGGAGATTTCCCGAAGAATCAGCCAAGGTGAGACCGACTTGGATCAGATGGAGAGCATCTACGTTTGCCTTGAGCGTGTGGTACAGAAAGTCAGAATATCTCTTATATCTTATCGATGGTTTGATCACAACCCCAGGAAATTCAGTGTCCATGGCCACATAAGGGAACCGATCCACAAGATCGGAGATCAGTGCAAATTCCTCTTCTAGGTTTTCGGCCCAAACCTCTCGGATCTCGATCGGTGGGCGGTTCTTCTTAGATTCCATGAGCGGCAGGGGGGGGGAATAGACTGAAAACAGGGAATGGATGGAGGAGTGGAAACAGGCAAATGGAGTTTCTGGAACGGGGACTGGGTTTTGGAGGGGCGAGAATTTGATGGATGGTGGGGTTGAAGGGTGTGGATTATATTGAGAGAGAGAGAGAGAGAGGGGATGAGGCTTGGGATATTGCTGGGAAAGGGGAAGGTATCCGGACCGCGTGTTGAGATGTCATTCTCTCTCTAACTCTTTTGTTTGACTGAAAATTATATCTTTCTCTCTCTAACTCTGTGTTTGACTGAAAATTATTGGTTGGCGGTCTCTTCTAATAAATTATTGGAAGGCGTGGTCCGAGAAGCACGAAAAAGAAAAAGGTGAAACGCATGTTCAAACGGGATTTGTTTATATATGCTACCCACTTGACTCTAGGTCTGGTCACGAATGTTTCCCAAATTTCGGCTGGGATTTGATGATACGAAATCTGGATATGTTTCACAAAAATTGGGCCAGAATGCAGATTCAGTTTCTCCTAGACACTTGTGACGCAAAAAACAAAAATGGAAGGGTTCTTTTTGGGTAAGTGAAAAAATTATAATATAGGTTTCCTATAACGCTAAGTGAAATCCGAAATTTCAGTGAAGAAATTGATTAGTAGGAGAATCGGCTATATTTCGACAAAGAATGGCCTAATCCATAAATTAAGTGAAAAAAATCGGACTTTAATTTTTATTTAATAAGGAAATAATAATAATAATCTATGTTAATTATTTAGGCCAAGGTTTAAAAAATATGATCGGTGACTCGAATCGGCCTCACCCATACCCGTGTCCGATTGGAGAATCGGATGAATCGGCAATTTTTGTCTCAAAATTTTATAAAAAAAAAATCACTATAAATCTCTAAAAATAATGTTCTTTTAGATTCTAAAAGAAATTAAGAGTGATGCATCAGGCATTTTCATTATTTTGTAAAAATAAATGAATACTGAGATGGTGTTTTCAAAAAATAGACATATGTGTAATAAGGGAAAGTTTTAGATATTTTCATAGTAATCAAAACTAAAACGGATATTTACATAATTTTTTCTAATAATAATAATAATAATGAGAATAGCAGTAATATGATGATGATGATGATGATAATAATAATAATAATTACAACAACAATAAAATACGGACGTATCGTTTGCCCAATCCATAATTCAAAATTATTTGTAAGGAAATAAAGATAAAATCAAGATCAGGAACAATCATAAATTTTGAAAATAGTTTGATAAGCGATTTAGGAAATGATGTCCTTCCTAGTTTTCAAGAGATTCAAGATTCAGAAGTAGATCTCAATTCACGGTCAATTTAATTTTTGCCTAGGATTCATGAATTTGAAGACAAATAGATTACATGTAGCTATTAATCTATTTTTTCTCCTAAGATAATGAAAGTAGATGATCCAGAATCAGACCATTTTAATGATCAACGTTTTCTTGTTTTAATTTCGTGATCGGGATCTCAAATTTTGGAAATAAAAAATGGAGTAGGACGCTCCTCAAAAGCTATCTTCTACAAAATTTCCATAGTACATGGTGCGTAACTCAAAATAACAGCAAATATTCAACCTGTCTTCTATTTAGGACAGGCCGGGCGGCACCAGCCTTAAAAGGTACACAAATTGTGGCCCGAGGGCCTGGGTAGGGTCAATGCTGATCCGGTTCATCCTAGCCAGCCCTCTTTTTTTTTTCTTTTTTTTTGTCTTTTTTTTTTTCATTTATTTTTTTCCCAGCCCCAACCTTCCCAACATGGCCTCACCCTAACAGGGCCAGGCCTAGGCCAGCCTTAAGGGAAAAAGGACCAGGGCCCGGCCCATTGCCGCCCTTAGTCGTCATCGACATGAGAATGTGTATCTCGATGTGTATGGCACATACCAAGAGTTTATTGAACTTGTTAAAAAGGGTCAATTCTACAAATTTTGGAACGAGGAATTGGTCAATACTTGACAAAATGTATCGAAATGCATATTTAAACATTTTCCAATTATCTCGCCCATCTCTTTTTTGTTTCTTGGCTGAGCTAGTCAAAGCTTTGGCAGGTACCCCATTCGTGGCATTAATAAGGGAAACAAGTATACTAAAATTATAAATAAACAAGGGATGCATTTCTACAACCCCTAGGCCTTACTAAAAAAAAGTACAGCATGTATACTAGTCTCTCTCGGGAGCACAGTTTAATTCTACTCCCTTATTAGAAAGACCCATTTGGAAGGTTTTTGCAATCTGAAATTTTAGTAACTATTTAAGAATTGCTAGATGATTATTCTCCCAAAAAAAAATGAAATTTCAGTTTTGTAATACCATCTTGGTGCAGAACCAGCACTAGAAATTATAGATATGAGGCTAGCTGTGCATCAACCACCCAACTTCCTTGATCTCGATCAAGGGAATGAAAAAAAAGGGGATTTTCGGTCCCCAAATCTTTTCATGCTCAAGTCACTTGCAATATAGAAGGATGACCTTCCGATTCAAAGTACTCTCAACACACAAAGATGGAAACTCCCTCACTCTCTCTATACCAAGGAGGAGAAAGCGGATTTCATTATCGAATTTTAACAAAACTATTCAATTGTTCAGACAATGTTCCATACGTACAAACCAGTTTGTTAAAACTAAAAAATAACCAAAATACCTTAATAAAGTGTAAAATTTACCAGATTACCCTTGTGCCCTATTTCCATTCTTGCATGTAACTCTCACGGACCTAAGTTCCCATCGATGAAACCACAACTTATAAGCATTGAAACTACACAATTTTGACTTTTAGACTCATGAAAACTTTCACACAATAAATTATTTGTCTCCACACCAAATTCTCTCGCCTTTAACAAATCCTAAAATGACCAACTAACAAAGAGAAAATGGCAAACTCATTCTAGGGCTGAAAACAAAGAGACAATGATAAATACATAACAGCGACAAAAAAAAATTGTTTGAAAATAACAATCTCATGCTGGTGACTAAAAAAAACTTTAAAATAACAAACAGATCCTAGGAGCGAAAAAATTCTAGATGTGATTTTGCGTCATATCTCATCATGCCCTCTATTCAATCTCGACATTATTTTTTTAAGTGCATAGAGAATAAAATTAGGAATCTTTTTATGGAGGTTAATCTATGGATTGAAAATGTTACATCCCCAATATTTGGGATCCTAAAATTAGTTCTAAGTGGGGCCCGAGAGGGAAAATGGACATTCTACCCAACGGGAGTAGAATATCCTTCATCATAAAAGTAAAGCCTCCCTTAAAAATCTTGTCCCAAAAAATACTTGAGGCATGGGAAATCCCTAAGATGGCTCTAAAATTTGTTTCTACCTTTAATTATGAAATTTTTAGCTCAAAAAATAGTACAAATCTTATGGATCTATGAACACTTGAAAATGGACAATCTAGATTATATGTTGCAATCTACTCTATTTTTAAGACTTGAAATCGTAATTTTCTTTCATAACCACAACTATTAAGGTCGAGATGATCGATTTGAAGGGTTTTTTTATGCAAAACTATAGTTTTCAATGAGTTTGATGTGAGGCTTTAATTTTTCCTATAAAACCTCAACCTTGTTTTAACATTTTCCATAAACAAAAAGCTAAAATTCTCAACTCTCATAGAGCTTGTAATGTACAAAAGATCCTCACTACATACACTCATGGCACACTCCAATTACTCGATCAGTAGGACACAACTTCATCTCTAGTAAATAATATATAGATTCATCCTTGGGAGGTGATAGGAATACCTGGTATATAATACCACTTTCATCTCTTGTAAATAATATTCTTTGGGAGTGGTATGAATATGTAGTAAGTAATTTCAAATTTTCCATGAGGTTACTTTTTGGCCAAATCACCTGGATTATGGTAATGAGATGGACCTACCGAATTTTAAGATACTCCTATAAAAATTCCTTTTTCAATTTGCAAAGAGATTTTAGTATTTGATCCCACTATGCATTGGTGTTGAAACTCCAACACACTGTCTGGGTTTGTGATGCGCAAAATTGCAAGTGGTCATGGCATTCACTTTCAATTTTGCACGTGCAGCAAGTGTTATCTAATTTGAGACCCATCTTTGAGTTCTATCATTGTTGGGAAGCTTATTTTGGTTAACCAACAAAATCAGAAGGTCCTACGGTTGGATTAGGCTTTTCCAAATAGCTTTGAGGAATATATTTGACCTCACGTACCTCGTCCCAATTTTGAGTAGGCATCTAAGTGATTTCTTCTGCCCCATTATTTCAAATAACTTGTTAGTTGTGTTCTCCAATGATTGAGAGTGTCATCTATGCTTTTGCCGTTGTTTCTTCTACCCCATTATTTCAATAACTTGTTAGTTGTGTTCTCCAATGATTGAGAGTATCATTTATGTTTTCGCTCTTTATTTTTGTTTTGGAAGAATACCTTATATTATTTCAAAATAATATCCCTTTTGTTTCATAGTGTTAGATAAAAGTGTAAAACCTTAGAAATGGTGTTGTCTTGTATATAAAGAGAAGTGATAATCGAGAGCAACCTTATTTGAACATATGGGCATCCTCTTCACTTGTGATCTAAAAATTATAGGCAGAGTAGGCCTATGCGGATCACATACAACACGCAATCACATGTATGCAAGGGCACCATGGCACTTGACGTTGCACTTAAACGTTTGCATCGGAACATGAGCATCCCTCAAATGTGTGCAAGTTGAGAGCATCCCTTGCCCAAGCACTTGTACAGGTCAAGCTCGTGGCTCGTCTATCTTTTTGTTGCAACATACATTGCCTCTGGTGATTGGTATTGAAGGGCATTATGGTATATAAGCTCTAGTAGTTTGGTGCACTCTGGTGAATAGAGTACCCTGCCGGTGAAGAAGCACAAGTAGTGTGTCCTCCAATGAATTGATGCACTCCTGTGATTTGTGCCCCTCTTATAGAATTGTAATGATTATTTTATCGGAACCCAATAAGACAAATCATGTGATTGTGGGTGCACACGTGAACAGTGCGACAGTTTGTTTCCCGAAACCCAAAGAGTCACCACGTGATTGTAGATTTCATGTTACACATGTGAACATATACGTCGTTCTGACAATTGAGATTTCATGAGACGTAATTCTTAATCTTTTGATACTTGAATGATCAGACAAAGGATAAAATAGTACTCTCCCTCTCTATAAATAGACATGTTTCCTCCTATTTTTGACAAGAAGTTTACGTACCAAGTTTTCTTACTGTCATTTTCTCTCGAGATAAGAGACAATTACGGTGCTCTAGATCTTGCAATATCTATCCATCTCTATTGACAAGATAGTTTCCTCAAACCTCTACTCTCATGTATCCCAGGAACAAATTTGCTAAGTTGAAACTTAGATGCACACTGATGTATATACGCTATCTTGAGAAAGCAATATATCGTGTCTAGAATCAAAGATATTGAAACCCATTTAATTTCTTTCGATTTCTATTTTGCACCATTTCACCCATCTCTAATGTTTCTCAGCCCATATATCTCTTTGTCAATCTATAGTTCCAGAGGGGGTATCGCCAAATGTGTTTTTTCTTTAAAATTGCTCATACAAGCCATATTTTCCACTTATCTTCTATCAAGTAGGCACATGCTGATATTTTTAATTCTTTTAGTACCTAGGGCACTTTCGCTGCAAGTACACAAATTGTTAACTAGTTGACTAGATTTGGGTGTATTTGGCAAGGTCGACTGCCCAAGAGGAAGTCCACGTGAGCTTTTGAAAGGTGTTGATCCCACTCTCCCATTCCATCAGAACTGATGACCCACCCAAATGTGGATATGGTTTACTAAACATAATCTATTAGACCACAGTGTCTACTTCAATCCATGTCTTCTATTCAATAGAATCTCCTCAGTCAAATTCCTAGTCTTGCAACAGTACCTCACAAACAGGTGTGTCTGAGAGAGAGAAAAAGATGAATCCTCTACAACATGTTCTATATATGAAAAGAAGAAGAAAATTTTAAAAGACAGATAAAATCAGGAGATTGTATTATATCATTTTCAAGAATAAACATTTAGTACAATAAAATAGCTCCAGAAATAAATGGCTCATGGCATACCAGTGTTTGTCAAGATTGATTCTATCGAACTAAAAAGCAGCTTACCAACTGAAAAAAAGATTCCAGCTTAATTTAATATGAAAAGAGTCATCATATACGCTTTCAGCTGATTGTTTGTGTTTAATCCATTGGCTGAAAATGTTGTCTAACTAAATCATAGCTTGGAACTCGATCAACTGCAGGTAATAACAGTAAAATCAATTTTTTGATATCAACACAATGTGTATGCGCATGAGGACGTGTGTGTGAGAGAGAGAGAGAGCGAAAGAGAGAGATTACCATCACCCCAAGAACCCATAGTAACTGGAGAGGAGAGAATTTTATGTGCAGTAGCTGAAAGATCGTCTAGGGTTATTGCATCCACTGCCTTCAGAAAATGCTCAACATGTTTCCTATAAAGGAAAACATAGCAGAATAAATCATACAAATATTATACACTATGTGTGCAAGTCCTATTGAAGGGAAAATTTAAGAAATCCAAAGCAGACGTAAAATTCCTCCAAAAAGGAAAAAGGAGAGCTCATCTATGCAAGACCAGGAAGATGGCCATTCCTTTAGCAAATACTAGACCATAATGGTAAAAAATCCCCAGAGTTTCCTCTGGAACTTTGTGGCCCAAGTAAATAGATCCATCACCCTCAAAAATCACTACAGAGGGAAAAATATGGGACAATTAGGAAAGATGGGAGAAACAGAAGAATAATTGAGAGAGAGAGAGAGACGGCCAAGTAATAGACTACCATCTACATACAAAACTACAACCAACCGAAAGGAAAATAGTAGGGAACTAAGTTAAGGAAAGTAGTAGGG